GATAAGGCACTGGTCACATGTGGAAAGGACAAGAGATAATTCACTGCGTTGGAGTTACCTAACATTTACAACATTGACAAGGTATAAGTGAGTATTGTGCTGTATCAAAGCGAAAACTTCATCAGCCAAGCCAACATATGTGCAATTCTTAATGACCTCTAAAAGACCTGCAGCAGTAGATAAAACATCAGGCTAAAAGAATAGAGGCACCCCTTTCAGAAAAAGGATGAGATGAACTCACCAGGATGGCAGTGAGAATCTATTTCCATAAGAAGCTCATGACGGCTAGATAGATCACAAGCATCCTTTGGATTCCTCCTTGATCTTACAACATTTCTTGTAGAATCATGTAAACATTGAAAAAGAAAATCAGCCTCAGCAAAAATAAATGATAGCAATCACAGTTTTCACTTCTTAAAATAGATTGTTTGAATTAGCAACCAACATAGGAAAAAAAGGAAAGGACAGCACTCCCAATAAAATGAGATCCAGCATGCAATCAAAAAAATCATCACAAGGATAGGATAGCAAGTTTGTAAGCAAAAAAAAAGGGTGCATGTGAGGGGGTGAAGTGTTTCAATGATACAAATACAAGATCAAATCAAATGATGAGGAAAATCTGAAAGGAACGCTCAGTGGTTGCCAGCTTGTGATAATTAATAGCCTACCTTACAGAAACAAGGTCAGATTTCTTTTCAAGATTTGAAGATTGCCCATGCCAGTAAGTGTGCAACCTTCCAGATGGATTGCGTGGATCAGTTCTGACCATTTGGCTCACAGGAGTCTTTTGAGATTTCATTCCTACAGTACAAATGGTTACAATGAGATGATTCACTGGGCGGGATTCAGATACAGCGGAGCAGGTAGCAAATAGTAATAAGCAATTAACTCATACGCCAAGGCAGCATAGGGCACTACTGGAACACATTTAAGCTTAAAAAGTTATGATCCATTATACGTGTTGATTAACGTTGTACATACCAGAGGCCATTTTGACCTCAGTACCCTTGTCCTTCTGTGTGTAAACTTGAGTAAGTGCTGAGGAGTTAACTGCCTGCAACTTACATGGAACAGCATCATCAATGGTACAGAAGTTTACATCAAAGTTCAATTACATATGCACAGACATCATAGGACGTTTCAAGTATAAGAATCTGTTATTATAAATAATGAAAAACATGCTTGACCATCGCCAAATCATATGCCATAAAAAAACACATATGACATATCAAATAAAGTTCTCAGGTCAATGCTTGTGTTTATAGGCGGGGTCACCCAGTGAAGAGTCATGTTTCCAAGAAAGATTTTATGAACATGGTGCCCAAGTATGTAATCAAAAGTTGTCAAACAGATATATGGCAACCGGTAAGTAAAGTATAGTAGCGGAATAAAGGTTATGACCCAGAACTACCATGTAATATCAATGTTCACAATACACATACAATCCAAGGGTAAGTAACTAAGTATCACGTATTTGTATGGGACTAAGTAATATAAGCAGGTTTGCAGATACACAGTGCTAAATAGCCAATTAATTACCTGAGTTTGGAATATCCTTGTGGTATTAGAATTCCTCAGCTTTTCCTCAATGGTATTTTTTATAGTTTCAATAATACGCTCTTGATTCAAGAGGCTAACCTGAAAGTCAAAGTATTCACAAAAGTGTCCAATCATTTGTTCTATAATTGGAAAAAATAAAAGAAAGAAAAATGCTTGAACATCAGAAGCAGAACAGCATACCTCTTTTTTGGTTGGGTGTATATTGACATCCACATGTTCTGACGGAAGATTGATGGACATGTATATGAAGGGTTTGGATGCTTGAGGCAATGTTGCAGAGTACACAAATTCAATTGCCCTTTTTAAAGCGGTACAGTCTACAAGCCTATCTGAAGAGTAAATATGAAGATACATAAATGATAAAGCAGAGAAATAATGCATATAGTAGAAAACAAAAAGGAGCGGCTAACTTGACTAATTCTGACCAGAATGGCAAAGGTGGATTATCTACATGATCATTCATTTGTAGAGAAAAAGTTTCCAAATCTAAATAAACCAGCAGATGTTATTTACACAGGAATGGAGAAATATTGGCTCCCTAAAAAAGTCACTAGTACTATTCTCGTATGTTTCTACCATTTATGAAAAGGATCATCATGATCTTCTTTGCCACATAATTTGCATTTGATATATAACCATCCATCTTGAAGACTGCATCTCCAGCATCCTCATCTGAAACTTCTATTTCAATCAGATCACGAACAACAGAAGCCCCATAGACAATCCTTATAGCATCCAGTCTAGAAGATGTGCTCGAACTATGAACATCTGCTCTATTGGCTCCATGCTGTGACATAAGAAGCAAATGATACCCTATTAAATCTGATGAGTGATGATATAAAGGGTGCCTTATTAAATCTGACGATGATATAACGGTGGAAAAGGGCAGGGATATTTACCTTTCTGCAGGAAAAGTTCACATTGATGTGATGGACTGCAAAACGACTAATGAAATCTACAATCTTGGGGTAGTCGTCATTGGAGTTCTGCAATGTTTTTCTACGAGCTACCATATTGTAAAATAAATTTTCAACCTGCAGAGAATTATGTTGTTGTAAACCTTACAGAAATATCTGATATCCAACAGTATTAAGCAGACAAGGAAGTAGGTACTTCATGTAAACTGACCATGACTTGAGTTCCTTTAACTGCAGCACAGGGTTTTGGCTCATTCTCCATTACTCCATCTTTATAACAAACACTGACGGGAAAACATGACATAACTTATATCAGCAGCAAATATAGAATATAGCAGAATCATAAAATTTTGAACTGTTCATGAACTAACCGATAGCCGTGAAGTTGGCCCTCTGTTATAGTTGTCACAGTAACATGGCCGACATAAGTCATACTGGCCAGGGCCTCCCCTCTAAAGCCCATAGATTTTATGGTCTGTAAATCCTCATATGCAGATAACTTTGAGGTAGTATGCCTTTCGCACAATATTGGCAAATCCTCAAACTGTGAAATGAAAACAAATTAGTTACATAGGTGCTTTTTCAGTGGGACACTTAGGGTGAGACTGCGAAATATGAACAGAACATGCATTGAATGCAGTTATCCTATGATTGAGAGGAGGCCCCTCAAAATACAAAGAACCTCGGAAGTCTTAACAGATCACATAGTGAATGTGCTTATCCTATGATAGGGAGCAGGCCCCTCGAAATGCAACAAACCTCTTGTGGTCACACTCACACATCACATATAGCCATATAGGACTAGGAGTAGCATCCAAAATCGTACCTGTAATTTATTAGCATTCACATTCCTGGACTGCTTAATAGGGAAAATTATATCCTGATAGTTTTGTTCTCGTAATATTGTTTGCAATGTGGTCAAGACATATAACATTTCAAACATATCAAAGCACAGAACCAAATGTCCCTAATGGTTCGTTCATCATTCACATGCTTGGCAATTCGTTGAATCCACCAATCGCAGAACCGCTCCAAAACGGACTCGGTCCTCCAACTACTCGACACTAGAAAAGTGGGGTCCCTATCAAAAAAAAAAAAGTGGGGTCGATTTCAGGGGTTTAGGGTTTAGCGAGCATACCCGGATGCCGTGGCCGTCGTCGGAAACCTGTATGAGCTTGAGCCCTCCGTCCTTTACGGTGACGGAGACCGTGGATGCGCCGGCGTCGAGGCTGTTCTCGACGAGCTCCTTGACCGCCGACGACGGGCGCTGGATCACCTCCCCCGCCGCGATGCGGTTCACCACCGATTCCTCCAGCCGCCGGATGCGGGGCGGGTCCGCGCCGCTGCCTCCGCCGACGCGCGGCGACGGGTCATCGACGTCCATGGCCGCCGTGGAGGCACGGAGGCCGAGAAAATGGGAATTGCTGCCCCTGCCCTGAGGCGAGGTGAGCTTGGGCTTTGGAGTTGGAGTTCGCGCGTGATGTCTAAAATAAGCGAAGCAACAAAATTTGGTTTACGACAGTTTTGAGACAAATGTTGGATGTATTACATTAGCTTCAAATTTCAAAATTAGAGGGTGTAAAACGAGTAATGCTATGGCTGTAAATAGGATTATATACCACACATGGTAATTCGAAATATCAGCAGTTAAAAAGTTTCATGTGATGGTGGTTCTTATCCATCTAAAATAAAGGCAGTTTTTGTTGAAAAAGAAAGGCAACTGTAAGATTAAAATCAAACTGCTTGGAGCATGGATTCCTTTTCTCTTTCTTTCTATATCCTGTTCGTCTGACTGATAAGCCATGACCGAAAGTATTGTTGAGTAACTTATTATAAAAAAATATATTATTTATTAGCTGAAAAAATATAGCTTATAAGCCAAACGAATATGACCCGGCTTTTGCATCCATCTCAGCTGTGATTTTTCCCCTGTACGACAATGAAGTACACGAATTCCACAAAATAACGTTCAAATCCATTATTTTCATAGGAATAATAAAAAGTTTATTTCTCACAAATTCACATGGCTTGGTCACCGCTCAGGCGCTCACCGTGCTCGTGGTGGGCCCTGAATACCCGATTCTCACCTGTCCGACCTGTGACTGGGCACGTGGCAGCTGGGCGCTCCACCGCTCACTCTCCGGCGCGCGCCGCACCCGCGAATCCCCCACCAGCTCCTCCTCCTCTTCGTCCCCGATCCATCTGCAATCGGATGGGTAAGCATCTCCGCCCCTCGGGCACGAGCAGCTGCCAGCGGCAAGCCTCTTTCTCCCGTAATCAACCGCCTCCTTCCTAGTAGTTCCTACCGACTAACGCTCTCCGCTCCTCTTCCTCCGCCAGTCTTGCTCCGGTGCGCCGTTGATCTCTGCAGCAGCGCTCAGGTTGGTTCGACCTACCGTTCTTCTAATCCCCACCGTATCGCGGTTTCGTCCGTGCCTGATGTCTCCTCGCGCGGTTAGCGCTGCAGGTGGTTTAGATCGGCGTGCGCGCGCGACGCCGGGGCCGGGTCGAAGCACGGGATCCATGGAGAGAGTCAGGCTCACGCCGTTCCCGCCAAGGGAGCAGGCCACGACCAGGCTATGCAAGGTGTCGAGGTACTAGTACTACCGCAACTTACACTACACGGACAGACGACCCTACACTGGTGTTTGAGCTGACGAATTGCTGAATCTGGATGGTTATAAGCTGTTCTTCAGTTCTAACCACACGCGCTCGCCGCGATTCCCTGCAGCTTTGCTACAGAATTGCTCGAGATAAGGTCCAAGGAGCCGTCCCTCCACGTGCTGCTTATTCCTGGGAATCCAGGTCGGTGTGCTGCGCCTGCGCTGCGCGTATGGTTCAAGCAAGAGAGAGGATTCGAAATGTTGAAATGCTCTTGAATGTAACCCGTTTCTGTTTTGTTTTGGTAGGCATAGCTGCGTTTTATAAGGACTTTGTCGAAGCGCTCTATGAAAACCTCGGTGGCCAAGCATCTGTTACAGGTAATTGCATAATGCATTTTTCTTTGTGTAGTATGGGCTAGTATCTGTGTGACTTGCTGCCTGCTGATGAACCTTGCCTGTTTTCAGCAATAGGGCACATTTCACATAGCCAGAAGGTAACTTATACAACTTACCTGATGTTTGTTTCACATGCAACTATGGGTGCCAACAACCCTGCAGCAAACCTTGTAATGCACATATATTAGAGATCCTTGAATGTTTGGGCTACAATTTAACTCTGTTTAGATTCCTTATTCAGCATATTAGTATTGCCAGCAGGACTGATTTTGATACATCTTATGGCAGGACTGTGAGCATGGACGATTGTTTTCATTGTATGAACAAATTGACCACAAGGTGCAGTTTACATGCTCCATTAGTTGAAACTTCTCTTTACTATTTTCTGTCCATTTGTGTTTCTGCTGCAACAGCTTTTTGTGCAACTTCTGTCATGAAAGAAAATAGCAAAATAGAGAGGAAAGCCGCATATTTGTTTCATCTGCCATTGTCTTAATATGTTCTGTTTCATGTACTGATTTACTTTTTAATCAGTTTGTTCCGGAGAAGATTTAACTCCTTTATTTGCATGGCCAACAGGCCAAGACTGCCCCGTGGTTTTATCCCATGTTTATCCCGTTTAATCGGTGTTCATGCATGCAGGTTGATTTCATTGAGCAAGAGCTTCAGCATTCTGAACAACCAATAGTTTTGGTAAACTTTCGCCTTCACCACTACAAGCCTTCATTCAAGTTGTTCTATGTTAACTGAAAACTCTAGTATGTTTCTTGACATACTAGCATACAAATATATGTAATCTAAACGAGTATTACAGATATCAGAGCTTAGGTGCTTACTCTTGTTTGGAAGTGGAAAGTCGTAGTTTCCAAGTAACATCCAGATATTTATACAACCTAGAAGAGTATGCATCACAGATTTGACTGCTTTAACATCTGGCCCAAGTTCCCATTTGCCTTTTGTAACGTGAAATCAAAGTATTATAGAACCTTTGTCACTGTAATGTTCACAGCATTGTTATGGCATTACACAGGGTTTTATTAATATAGATTAACATAACATGTTATGTTCAGTAACTCTGGAACATTCAGATCTATTCCTTATTTAAATACCCAATATGGAACCTGTGCCTTTTCTCACCAGCTCTTTATTCGTTCCCAAAAGAATTGCATTTGTTTGTTTAAATGAAGGTTGGTCATTCAATTGGCGCATACATAGGCCTGGAAGTCTTCAAAAGATTTCAGAATAAGGTCTGGATTCTTGCCCATGTTTGCCAGTCCTCTCCCACAATCCGCCCATAGCGTTTACTATTGTCTTCGCTTCTCCTGGACAGATAATTTTTTTTGTAGGACTGTATCCATTTTTAAAGATGAACAAGAGTTCTGTAACACAATCAACAATTGGATATATCGCAAGGTACTGAAATGCTCTGATCAAGTTTTTATAATTGTCATCATAGCATGTTGCTTCTATTGCCAAAGTTTTGATAATCTAACTTGGTGGCATGATTGCATCAACACTGAATATATTGCGGTGAGCAACTGATTTGTAGTCAAGTAAAATAGTATAGGATGATGCAATATAAGATTATTTTCCCATTTGAACAAGCAATGCAACATGGGAAGCTGGATATGAGTGGCATAGAGCTGACTATAACTTTTAAGTTAGTAGTGATTTTCATCTGTTCAGAAGTAAAATTTAAGGTCTTTTTGGTCGCTTCCCTTTCTATTTTCGGGCGCAAATGTAATTTCTGAGTTGTGTGGGGTTGTGTGTGGCATGTGTTGTAGGGCTCTAGCCCCTTTCTTTCTTCTTAATATAATGAAGCAGCTCCCCTGCGTTTTCGAGAAGAAAAAAAGACCTTACTTTGACTTGTGTTTCAAATATGCTCCCAAATCTTTACTAATCATTTTGCTGAAGTGGGTCTTCTCAATTTGGATCAGGTCATCACTCCTAAGTAAATTGGTTAGTTTATCTGCATCTTTCATCGGGTCACTCCGACCTTCAATTACAAGGGGCATTGTGAGAAGGTCCCTTGGACCTTCATGGTCTGTAACAGCTGTTGATGCTGTACGCTGCCATCTCTTAAGGGTTAGTCCTGAACTTTTAGTAACCAACTTGGTGTGTTGTTTCATATGCTTCAACTGTCACAAAATGTTGAGACATGTGCCCCTTCTCCATGCCCATTGCAGTACAATACAGTGCGCAATGTTCTTTTCATGGCAATGAGAGTTCCAAAAGGTTACTCACAATGCTGACTACTTGATGTTCTACTTCTACTTCTACATACATACGCATGGACCATTATAACAGCACATCTATTTGAGTAACTAGAGCCCCTCCATCTTTACTTGCATAGTGGCTATGATTATTTCTTTCTCGTTGTGCTCCAGCTTACTGAAGAACCAGACTGGACTTTCATCAGAGCACAAGAGGAGAAAATGGCCTTTTTGTTTGGTGTGGATGATCACTGGGGTCCACTATCTCACTTAGAAGAGGTGAAGTGATGATACGCTATTTGACAGCATTCTATTCTGATAGCTGGTGTTGGGGAACTGGGCTGCTAGATGCTAACTATCTTCAGTTAATTTGGAGGATTTGCAGATATCAAAGCAGGCACCCAGGGTCACCCTGTCGGTTGAAACAGAAGGTCACACACACGGTTACTGCTGCACTGAGGCTGGATCCGTTTGGGTTGCAGACTACAACGCAAATTTGATTAAAAACCAAATGCTCCTTAGAAACAACTGATGTTCATTTGGCAAATGTATCATATGACTCTTTTCTTTGAAAGAAGTGAATAGCTGGAGTGTGGTGGAACTTATTGAGGTTCCGGTTATGATATATAGTCCACATTGTTTGGCTTACTGGTTCCCTTTCAATGCCACCAATGCTTCGAGACTGTTACTGGATAATGCCACATCGGTAGTTTGGTACCTCTTATAACATTTTTCACAGTACAATCTGGGATGGTGAATACGATATATGGCGTGTTTTATTTTACAGAACGTTTAGCGCGTGGACGCGTCCGGGCGCCCGTGCCTCCTGTGCCTGCTTCATGTGGGGGGCCGTGTCGCCCCGTGTCCCGCGCCCACACCGTGCCTCGCGCGCGCCCCATGGCGCCCACTCCACGCCCATGCGTATGCAGGGGAGCCTAGCAGCTGCAGCAGGTGACGGTTGCAGATGGGTTCTCTTATAACATCTAGATAAAACACTTGTAACATACATCTAAAACAATGAAAGTACTTACAATATATATCTGTGTTTACGTCAAAATTTGGGAAGAAGAACGCGGAAACTCGAAACTTTTAGGATTGTGTCATCAAGAAATCGATCGGATGAGAATCGGTATCAGCTGATTTAGATCTAATGTCAGGATCAACTATTTTATGGATGACGTCAACAGACGGCGTTAATGGACTATACTTGAGTGACGCCAGGGAAATGTGTCGGACTCTACAAATAAGAAAAATTGGGGTCCAAGTTATTATTAAGTTAGGAAGTTTTCTTTTATTTCAAGAATTGTAATGAGTCGTATTTGAGTAGTATTCATATTTAGGTTCTGGGTATAAATATTAGACCCTGGTTATTGTAAAAACGAACATTCAATCAACACAACCTTTCCGGTTTTCGCCATCGCATTAGGAGTAGGAGTACTATAGATTTCGACGAGTTCTTCAGCAAATAGGGCTGCATCGACTTATCGACCTCTAGCTTCCGTGTGAGTACCGTCACGACTTGTATTATGCTTGTAAAGCTGTATCGGTTGATTGATCTTTTATGAGTTATCATAGCATCGTAATTTATAAGGCTGCATCAGCTGATTGATCTCTTACGAATCATAATATAGATCAAAGTTATCGATCTTATGTTAAATAACTTGTTGTTTAATACAATATTATCCGTTATCGAATCTGCTAAGATTAGTAAGATTTCCTTGCTATTTTTTGTTGATTCACCAGTTATCGATCTTGTTATAATTAATGTTTTCTTAATTATAACAAAATCACTCGATTGAGATAGAGATAGATCGACATCATATCATCTCAATTGGTCGTCTTTTGATCTGATCACGCTTCAAACCTCATAATTGATGGCTTAGTTCCGCTAGATCAGTTGTTTTATCTCTATTCCAGTCAAATATAGTATGCATCCAAAGACATGTTTCAATCTTGAATAAACTTATTAGTTAATGAAATCTAATCTAATGACACTACCATAGCTGCATCAATCCGGTCAAACCTCACTGGTAAGACTTTAGATTAGAAATTATCGATTAGTGGTCTTGTTCATGATTAAGATATGTACTCTGTTTGTTTGCTATGACTGCATCGGCTATTTTAGCCGATTTGCCTATACTCTCACGCATATAGCATGTTTTCATGAATCTATCAACATATAGATGGTTTCATAGATTCTTTGGTTTTAGTTTGTTATCGTTATCATAGCTGCATCGATCCAATCGAACCTCACTGCTGATGATAATAAATTAGATTCAAACTGTTTGTAAATTCATTTACAGTCGATTTATTCGCATGTTATACTTTTTTCATGGATACGTTGGATATCGACTATTTAGTCGATAGCCTCCTTGGATCGGCTATCTAGACGTACATTTAGAACTGTTTGTTGCAACACCGACATGTTCCACCTTAAATTATCGATAAGATTTTCTCTCCTTGTCAATTGCAGGTTAAATTGACTGGCACGTCGTTGGGCTTTCAGAATCAACTGGTTCTGTGTTGAAGCCAAGCAGATCTCTGGTCTCGTTCCACTCAGATCTTCTGGCTTGCTGTGTGCTGATCACATCGTCACATTTTTGTATCAGCAGTCTGAAACATCAGGAAAACATGTTTGTAGCCATTGCAAAACATATGCAACATCCAGATAAAACATTTACAACATATATGAAATACTTGAAACATACGCTTGCAACATGCATGTATATGTAACATCCAGATCTACTTTTGTAGCATTTAGATGAAACACTTCCAACATATGTCTGAAACAGATGAAACATTTGGGGCATACACTTGAAAATACCATTGCAACATGTGCAACATCCCGATCTACTTTTTCAACATCGATATAAAACACTTGCAACATACCTCTGAAACATTTGAATACTTGAAATAGATGCTTGCAAAATGCAGTTTCAACGCAACATCTTCTTGCTGCTTGGGGGAATGGATCCTCGTCTGCGTGTGGAGTTCTATTCTGGCCGTCACGGGCTACACGCGGGCGAGTTCCGCCCCGGCCATGGCAAACTAGGTAGGTGGGCGCGAGATGCCTCGGGCTGCCATGAGCTGTACGCGAGCGAGCTCCACACCTGGCCGTAGCGAGATGGGCAAGGGGAGGCGAAGGTCTTCCTGGCCGCCGACCAGGCGTTCGGCTCCCCGTGGTCGAGGTGAAAGTGGTCTCCCTCACCACGGGCGGACGACACAGCGTGGCCGGTGGAGCTCGTGCGTACGCAGCTAGCGGCGGCGCTCGACGCTCGTGCATATGCGGACGGCGGCGGCTCTCATGCGGATGCAGGCGCTAGCGGAGCTCGGGCGTACGCGACCGAAGGGCGGGCAGTGTGGTGGAACCGATGCGAATGGAGAAGATAAGATGTCGCTCTCTTTTCTTTTTTTATTATTTTTTTGAGAAATCGTGTACGCCGATTAAGGGAGCAGGCCTGTGGGCCGATCCATAGTCCAGTTAGCCGCGCCCAGACTGACCGATGCAGAATGAACGCCCGTGGTGAAGCATTAGCGTTTATTTTAGCGTTGCCAATGTGGATTTGTGGATTATTTAAGCTAGCTGGCTCTGATTGTAAAAACCCGCGATTAATTGCCATCGCTCCTAATGAATGTGTTACCTTATTTGCGGCTTTCATCGGGTCCGGTCCGTCACTCCAACCTTCAATTAGAAGCTAGGGGCATTGTGAGAACGTTCCATGGACCTTCATGGTCTAGCTGTTCATGCCCCTGTACCTTCGTTGTGACAAGATATCCTGCAAGGATACAGGAAGAATGGGGAAAGGGTCAAATACTACGTCCGTTTCAAAATAAGTGGTATTCTCACTTGTTGATAAGTCAAACATTTCTAATTTTAACCAACTATATATAAGACAAAGAAAATATTAATATTTATGGTGCATCATTAGGGTCATTAGATGAATCGTTGAATATTTTCATAATAAACTTATTTAGAGATATAAAAGTTATTAATATTTTTTATCAATCTAGTTAAAGTTGAGAAAGTTTGATCGGCACGGATACCATAATGACATTTATTTTAGGACAAAGAAAGTATGAAAGAACAGTGTTGCAGGTACTTGTAGACTTCGTAGCAGACTAGACACCAAAAGACGCATCACCGAAAGAGACTGCCCAGGCTCCAATCCTAGCCAGACTTCAACTAAGACAGAAAACCAAACACATACTATGTGTCATGGAGCCCACCGGGAATAAAATTAAGATATGCAGAGAGATTGAAATTCTCATGTACTAACAAGGTCACATAATACGAATCCATACTCTCTGGGTCTTCCTGAAATCAGAGCACTCGGAGCTCAGAGGTTCATCATCAAATCGAATACCCAGATGAACACAGGGCCTGTAGAAAAAGAATATATGGCAAGGGAGCCAGAACTCGCAACAAGGCATACTTGTACACAGGATACGAACAAACAATATAATTTTTGATCCATCTCATATATACAAATAATTTGATCTATCTAATGCTGATGGCTATGCGCCACGTTACAAAGAAATGTTACAACAAATTTTCTCACTCCATTCAGAACAGAGAACTCATTTATGCTATTACATTTTTTTAAAAAAAAAATAACACAAAGCATACAACATCAGACAAATGCACAAATTCTATGGAAATCTTAGATTCTTCATCTGTATCCTCAACGTTAGCTACACAGGTTTCTTTTGTTCCAGGTTCTAAAATTCATCATCATCAAGTGACTCATCATCTGGCATCATAGCTGTCAACAGTGAGTATTTCACCCGCAATGATATCTTACCCCTCTCAAGGTTCAGCTTTGCACCTGAAACCACCCAATAGCCCGGTGAGTCCTGCGGCCCACGCATCATCTCTGTTGGATCAACAAACTTGAGCAGCTTTGGGGTCTGCACTGGAACAGGTGGGCCACCAGGGTACACTGCCGAGTTTATGTTCACATCAGCTGGCCGCGGTGGGGGCTTCTGAGCTACTGAGGAGAAATGTGTGCTGATGAGTGTTGAGATAAGGCCTGATTTCTGAGCTAGGTTGGGAGAATTCTCCCATTCCGAGTTCCTTACAACAACATTGCAGGCTTTGGAGAAATGCAGGCGAAGGAACAGAATTTTCTTGAGGCCATGGTTAACCACATCTAATTGTGCCCCTGTGACAATGGACAAATCATCTGACTCGACTGGTGCTGTGCAGACATGAGAGAAACGCTTCCACGGTCCAATTGGTTCGTAGTATTTGCGGTCATATTCTGGAATTTGGTGATTGTAAGGGTCATCTTCAAGCTGAATAATCTGAGGAAGAGAGCATAGATGTTGGAGATGTATAGCTAATTTGTTGCTCTTCCTTCCTTCAAGGAACAACCGGAGTCCTGTAACTGGTCTTTTACCAACATCAACCTGCAGCGAGTTTGATATTGGGTTCAAAATATGAATGGGGGAAATACATGAATCAAAATTCAAACCACCATCTTAGTGAAAAAAATAACACCTGAAATAATACTATAGTTTTTTTTTCAAAAAAAAGGTACAGAAAATGAAACAGAGAAAGAAAACGGTCGATTATGACAATAGCAGAAGCTGTCCATACCATGTTAGTGCAAATATAAAGCTTTGGACCGATTATATTTACTGGCAACGATGTACTGCTTTGTCTTTTCCTCTGAGGACCCAGAGCGAGATCACTGTAAACAGGTGCCCACTGCCTTGGAAGCTGGAACTCCAGAAACTGATGTAATTCCTCGATTGGGGGTTTATCTGCACCAAATTTCAATATATCACCAAATTGTTGCCGTTGGACTTGCGGCCGAATACTAATTTTGCTAGATTGTGTGCTTTGCAAGTTGCAACCAGAAGTATTATGGCACATATAGGATTTCTTCCCCGTAGAAATTTGCATCACCTATTTTTCTACATTTGCATGTTATTAGCAGAGCAGGAGCACAACCATTGTGTTGCGGATGCCTTTGTTGGCAAATACTAACGCAGAAACAAAAAGGCTGTGGCGTCCACAAGTGGCTAGGATAGAATTTGTTGCTCTGGCAAGTCTGTTTTGGTTGGCACTTGAGATTAGGAATTTGTTAGCGTCGGCTCTACTTAAGGAGAACGGCAGAACTTTGTTTGGTTAAGCAGTAATTGAGTTAATCTGTTCAGAGATTCCTAGGAAGGGTGAACAAACTCCATTCCCTGCCATTGTTATCCTTCTAGTCAGATTAATAAAGCCAATCATCCAGCCATAACACATTGTCTAACTAAAATTCTCCAGCCATGCATTCAATTGTGAAACTCCTTAAGAAAAGGAACTGTTTGTTTCTCTTGACAAAAAATGAATAAATTCAGCTCCATTTTATTTTCGACCATCGATTTTCTCAGGTGGCAGGGTATCTCAACCCTAGCAATCGAGAACCTCACACCAAAAGCATATTAGAAAACAGTCCCTTTCAAATGTTAAACCAGAAGCATCCTATTCCTGGCTATGGCTAGGGCAAAAACTGTAACCAAATTTCAAAAGCGTCAACGCCGACATTGTGCTGTAATATACTGTGGCTGTATATCCAGATTTCTCCTAGCATCATTCTTATATACAGAGTACAGAATAGGGGTTTTTTGTGTCAACCTAAATACAGCACAGCAGTTTAAAAGAGGGTGAAATGACACTTACGTCGGAGATACAGATTAATTGCATGGTTCAAAAATCCACTTCCAGGAACTCCATTCAATAGTGAAGTGATTGGTATAAAGGACATTGAGATAACATCAGGCTCTGCTTGAACAGTATTAAGCCACTAAGCTATGAGATATAAATTCTTTATCCCTCCCACCTCTTCGCTTAGGCATCATCACCAAATCCTGAGATAGGGCGAACAAAAATGTGTATCATGCTAAGACATCCAGCTAAGCTAATATAAATATGATTCTTTGCTTGAGCAATGATGAGCGATTGGACATTATGAACACAAAGCTCTGTACCTCAGTTGACGAGTAAGAATTCAATGGACTGGACTGTACAAATCTCAGCTGTTGCTCTCTGATATCACTCTGTACAGTGTGCAACAATGTTAAATCAGAAAATGTGGAAGAAAAATGTAAGCTGAGAACATATTACGTCCAGCCAGCATCCTTTCACGATAAAATATACATGACAGTACCCAACAAAAGTAAAACCTAAGATTGAAATCAGAATTCAGAGCAAGTAAGCAGTTTAGATCTATGGGCATGGTATATCAAGAAATTAAATATTTTTGTCAATGTATATTTCTCTTTGCCATCTAAATATTTCTCAACCAGAACAGCCATACCAACCACAATTTGAGGCTATGGTCGCATGCCCATAGAACCAGTGTGTATGTAATTATGTATCATGTCACAGAAAAGGGGAAACTACCTATTGGAAAAAAACAATATAGGCCAGCTGCTTGTCCCAACTTCCCCACGAATTCAATGAAATAAATTGGAGGGAATCTATTATTTTAATGTTTGTTGGCCTAGTAATCGAGGTGATAAACACAAATTCCACTGGTCAAAAGCTGCAGTTTTTAAGGCTCACAGAAGTAAACGTTACATGTTGTGGGGTGTTCAACAAAACAATCATTAAATCTTAAATAAGTTATACTGTACAGGTACCACTTTAACAGTAATAATTGATGTTAAATGGAAGAAATCCTGGGAAAAGAAGAAGAAACAAAGGCTCAGAAAGCACCTTATTGTTCCCATATGTGTCCTTGAAACCCATGTCAGATTGCCCATTTGCATCAAAAAATTTCCTGTCTGACATCTCCTTCAATCGTTTTTGAACATCAGCAGCTTGCAAGGTCGATGAATGCTGTTGCTTCAAATAAATTACATCTTTCCCGCCCATCTTTAGACCAACAACTATATGAGTGCCAAATTTTTCAATGAACCTGAAGAGTAAAGCAACTAAACTTTAAGTTTTATATTGATGAACTCAGAGAATGATTCAGTGAAAATGGTAAGCTGACATCATTTACATGTAATCAATTAGTAAGGATAGGAAATGGCAATAGATGACAAGTTATGAGGTGTGGGGTGACACATATTTGCCAGGAGGCCAATGATAAAATCGGGAGAGCTATGAAAAATGGAGAGTTAAAAAAACTGAAGGAGAAACAGAGTTTCATCCTACGTGCCAAAACTGTAGATTCAGATATGGATCTAACCTTGCCAAGGCAGCAGGTTCCCAGGTTGATGGAACAGCCTGTTTAACATGATCCCGGAGTACAATTTGCCCTTTTGAGAGTGCGACACTGTATAGTGTGACATACCAACCATCAAAAGCAAGTGTTTTGGTATTAGCAGCATCTTTCTGCCAGCTGCCAGAAAACTCAAACATAGTATTGAAGAAGCCAGATGGAATTTTCCCAGACAAAGATAGCTCCTGGTTGAATTGCTCAGACATCTGCAAAGTGTTTCATAATTTGAGGAAGGTGGCTAACTGGCTTTTCTCAGCATTGTAAACACAAGATATGAGCAGCAATAGTTTTCATGGATGTAGATGTACTCTAGTATTTAAAACAACAACACTTGAAGAGGAAAAGTGCATGATATGACCATATAACAGCATCTACCTAAAAGGACTCAAACGTCTCAAGATTATCCTTGTGTTTCTATCACTCAAAACGTTTAAATGTTTCCAACCGATTCGGATCCTATTTTCTATTGAATGGCAGGACTTTGCAGCAGCTCCGGATATCGTCTAACTATACGGTATACGTGCATTACTACTTAGTAGTTGAAAGTAGCAATAGTTAAACATGGCTTTTTCTTTGCTTAGTCCGTTTGATCGGTAGATTATTTGCAGAGGACGCCATGCATCACTGCAATACCCAGTTCAGTTGCTATACTCTATCATATAGATATAAGTAGTAGGAAACTAACACTCCTATATGTTACAACGTATAAAAATAAGAATAAGTGAAATGGGTATACAAACAAAACCACACCTGCTCAAAGTAGCAATAGTTTAGCATGACTTTCTATTTGCTTATTTCGTTTGGTGCGGTAGACTATTTACAGTTACAGAGCACGTCGTGCAACCCTATAATACCCAGTTCGGTTGCTATTCTCTGTTATGCTGGTACAATCAGTATGAACTAATATAGGGATCCATAAGAAGTGAAATGGATATACAAACAAAACAGGAACAGAACCAGAACCAGAAGCACACCTGCTGGAACGACAGGACATCGGAGCGGAACCTCATCCGCTCCCCTTTGTCGCACTTAACCGACTTGGTGACGCCAGCAACGGTGACGCCGCCTGGCAGCACGATATCCTGAGCCTCCCCATGGTCGAGCTCGATGAGCCAGGGGTCGGGCGCGCCCCGCTGCTTGCAGTACTTGAGGCGGACGTCGCTGACGACGTCGAAGCCGAGGCCGACGGAGCGTATGGCGGCCTCCGCGGCCTCCTGCGGCGTGGCTCTGCGCGCTGCCATCGTCGTCCTCAGCCGCTCATCCCGCCTCCGGGGTCCCGCCCGTGCGCGGAGGGAGGGATCGCGGGACCTCGATCCCCCGGCGCGGGGAGGCCGATCTGACGCGGGGAGAGAGGAGGAAGGGGAGGAGCGGCGGGCGACGGGAGCGGGGGCGGCGCCGGGGAAGCACAGGTTGGAGAAAGGCGAAGTGGCAGGAGAGGTAAATTTGGCTCCTGCCTGTCTCTCCGGTCTCCTTTCGTCTTTTTTTTTTTTTTGCTCTTGTTGATTCAAAACAGGCAGGTCGTTTTGTGTTTTTGGTGGGCCCGGTTAGGTCTGGTCAAACTGAGGTGGTTGGCGAGCAAGGCCCACTAGCAGTAGATATCTCTTGCTCCGTGTATATGTGGTACACCTCCTCTTCGTTTTTGCAATTCGTTGGTTTGCAATAACGTGATGTTCTAGAAAGAAAACAGCAAATACAGTCGATGAAGGTGCAGGTCTGGCGCGGGGGGGTGTTGTGTGTAATTGAGTGAGTAGGATTTACCTCACCTGGGCTATAAAGATCTTTCACGGTCACGACACATGTCATGTCTATATATAGGCGTTGTTTTTTTTTGAATTGATGTGATAATTTTTTTTCTACCCCCTTGAATTTACGTGGCAGTTTATGCATGCAGAGTGAATCTGCGGTAGATCCTCACAATCGCAACGTCAGCAGTGGGGATGTCCCGGGCGTGTCAACGTCGCAGGCAGTGATTAGGCCAGTGAGGCGGGCATTAGACAGACAAAGGTTGAGACCAACATTTTCCGCGGCGGATCACCATCAGGTTAATTAATGATTTGGTGAAGGGGTGGCAGGCACAGCATGACAGCAAGGGTGGGAAGCGTGACCGGGTGGACCCCACGTGCGCGAGAGACACTTCAGCAGCAGACAGCACAGCAGTGGGCACTTGTCAATTCGGTACCTGGTGGACCAAGGTCCAGTTTAGTTTACAAAAAATTTTACAAAATTTTTCACATTCTTCGTCACATCGAATCTTTGGACGTATGCATGAAGCATTAAATATAAATAAAAAATAAAACTAATTATACAGTTTAGACGAAATCTACGAGACGAATCTTTTAAGCCTAATTAAACTATGATTGGACACTATTTGCCAAATAACAACAAAAATATTACAGTACTCATTTTGTAAAATTTTTTGCATCTAAACAAACCCCAAGCCAAGCAAGCGACCCAGAGAAGTCAACATGACAGGTGCGCACGCGATGTGATGGACTCAGAGTCACGGCATACCTTTCCAGTCTCTGTCTGTAGTCTGAATTCAATCTGATGGCTCTCATGATTTTGCAGCATGTCTTTTGAGCGTGTTTAGTTTTAGGAAGTTAGAATTTAAGGCTACTGTAGCATTTTTGTTTTTATTTAGCAATTAGTGTTCAATCATGGACTAATTAGGCTCAAAACGTTCGTCTCGTAATTTCCCATCAAACTGTGCCATTAGTTTTTTTTCGTCTACATTTTATGCTCTATGCACGAGCCGCAAACATTCGATATGATAGGTACTGTAACACTTTTTAGAAATTTAGGGTGGAAGTGAACACGCGCTTAGCTTTTTCCGTGGAAATAGACGGGAGCGGCTGCCCATTTGCTCGCGCCGCGCCGGTCTCCCGCGCGCTGCGCCGCCCACTGTCTAGAGGAGTCGAGCTGACCTACAACCTCCGTCCGAAAGAGCCAAGCCGTGCTACGCCAGTAGCCCAGCAGCACAGGGCCGACAGTCTGACGACAAGACATTGTCCAGCAGCGCTGCCCCCAAGACACCATCGAGGAGCACCGAGAAAACCAGCGTCCTCCGTAAGGACGCCTTCTAGGAGTGTTGCAGCTGCAGGGACATTAGCGAGGAGCACCACCCACATGAGTTGCTTCACCGCCTGGCATCAGAACAACCCCTCTTAGCTTCCTGTCAGATTGTGTTGAATCTAATGCTGCTATTTATTCTTTACCAAAATCTGTACCAGTCTAGCTAGTATCTATGTTGAGCTTGATAAAAATTGCAAATCTGCCATCATGTGCTAGTAATTGTTTGCTGTAAATTTTGTTCTTTGTGACAGAATTTGACAAAGAAAATCGAGTTATATATTGAAAGGCAATGGCAGAACTTGACAAGGGAACACCTGAAGTTGGTTTGAGGTTTTGAAATCCAGATGAGGCTTGGCAGTTTTGGGTGGCATATGGTGGTCGTACAGGCTTTGATGTGAGAAAAAGATATAGAAATTTAAGCAAATTTGATGGCAAGGTGACTTCATGCAGGTTTGTTTGTGCCAACGAAGGCCATAGAAGGAAAGTGGAAAGAGAGCACGTGACAAAGTGTTTTAGAGCTGATATAAGAATCAATTGCAAAGCACGAATGACAATTACATTGGACAGAGGGGAAGGAAATTATGAAGTCACTGATATTGTCCTTGAACACAATCACCTCCTTCACTTGCACTGGAAGTATTCAAGATAGGCAAGGAAGAAATGTGATAGAAAACCCAAAACTAGAAGCTCAACTTCGATTCAAGTTTCTGTCTCATAAATACCACAATTTGGCATATAAAGCCGCCAACTCTCTAGAATGTTGCTTGTTGCTCGACAATGCTCTTGATTGCCTTTGCACACAAGTTGAGGATAAACTCGCCCTGATCGGGGGCGCTCAGCCTTTCTACTGACTGATGGCCCCCCGTCGTGAAACGCCATAAAAGGACGGTGGGGGCTGAGGCACAAGGGACGAGTTTCACCGTAGCCGCTAGCCCCACCGTGATGTCCTAACCTTAGTCCGATCTAGAAGAGGGCGCTGTAAGCGACGAGAAGCGCCATCGCCTTCGCCGCCACCACCAGCACCGCGTCTCCACATCGCTGCTACCTCGTCGGCGACGCCATGGCCACGACTGCGCTCAACATAAGGTACACTAAGCAAGTTTCCCCATCTAAGTTAAGTATGACCCACTTGTAACAGAACCGACCAATTATACGAAATTAAGTAAGAAAATCATCCACCAGAGCAGACGATTGAGCAAACTTAAGCCCGTATAACCCGGTAGTCCGTGAAATCACGAAGGATTTCAAACCAACTCGTGTCCCAGCCATGATCGTAATAAGTTTAGCGGTCACCAATCACATATTACATAAAAGTTTCCATAATGAGATACATCGAGTTTAAATGAAAGTTATTACAAAACAAGTTCGAATAAAAGTAGCGCGAAGTCATTTGTTTAAAACCACACACACTCACACGGAGTTCAAATATAGTGCCGGTGATGATCATCTCCAACAAAAGCATTAGATGAGGCGTAAGGAATGACCATGCCCATGGTCCTAAGCATCACCATCGCGGGATAGATAGCGGCTTGATACAATAGCCATAGTACATACGCCCATACGCAACAAGTGGGAATAAAACCACGAGTACGAGAAGGTACTCGGCCGGACTTCACCGACATAACCGAAAATAAATGACACCAAGGATTATGCGGGCATTATAGTAGGGTAGTGACTCATTTGCAAAAGAAGCATTTTAGCATTTCAAGAACCTTTCTAAAAGCGGTATTGTCAAGTTAATTATTATTAACTTTTGTCGACTAGATTTTTACCTATACTAGAGTAAACATGTGATTAAGCGATTAATGATAACCACCGATCATTAAACAACTTCCATCTTGTCATATTCACTATAAGCATCCAAGTGTTCCATAAACATTTACTACGATGAAGTCACTCAAGTCAAGTGCTCACTATCCGGGAGCGATGGCGATTCGAATCGATTCCTAACCAAATTGGTGATTTATTCCTTACACAAATCTCACTCACCCGCTAAAGTGAGATATTGATCACCGAGTCAACTTTCCGGTATCTCGAGTTTGCCGGAACCACATGTGCCGGGGCGACCGACCGGCGCACTTTGGTCTTATCATCCCGCCCGTGTCCTACCACACACACTTGACCTGCGGTCTTGCTGCGGGCAATCTACTCGGCCGAAAAATCTCCCGGCTTCAGCGGTCGGAAGGTACTTTATCCGCCCGACTAAATGTAAGGCATCGTTCAACATGACTCGAGGCCCAACAACGGTCGGTCCTTAATCGACCTGAGAGGAAACACTACGGTCCAAAACCACGCAAGTCTCACCCGGTCTCAACTTCATTTAACACTTAGTTATACCATGACTTCATAGTCATCCAAACAGATCCGGTAACCACCTATAGCTCGCGGTGGCGAAATCACCCGACTTCTACCGGTCTAAGCCAGGCTAAGCATTGACTCATTGCGGATACCGGGGTAACAAGGATATAGTATAACAAAGGTAAACAAGGTATAATGCAACAGAACGGTGCAAACAACTCCTGAACGTAATGCATCAATTTAAAGTAAAGCATTTAACGAAATCATTGCAAACCGGGAGAAAGATGCTCGGGGCTTGCCTCTCTCGAAGGAGCTCGGGACGGTGATCGGGGCACTCGGAAGTTCTTCAACGTCCTCCTCGTCGACCACGGCACTTCTGCGGCTGCACCTCGAACGCTCCTCGGGCTCCTCGGGAATGACGACTGGGTTCTCGGTTTGCGATCTGTATGATGCAATGCGTGTAAGTGCCTATGCAATCGGTGCATCGAAGGAGATGAATCGATGAACATGTTGAAAGGCAAGGTAGACAACATCATCCAAGAAACTATGCTACAAGCACATGTCATCTACTGCATTCTCTTCTACTACTAATATGTCAAGTTAACCTATCTTGTGAAATGCTTCAAAGATACACCAAAGCTTTACTAATTTCTTAATCACACTTAGGGCAACACTTGCTTATACCTTAATTAATAATAGGTTTGAATAGCAACCTATATTTCTGATGCTCCTAAAAATCTGAGAAAATTACAGTAGCATACTACTACCCTAAACAGACTACCATAAAAATTTCATGGCATTTGGATAAGTAAACTATCCTACACAAAAATGACAAGCTATAGCCTAAAAATGAGCATGAAATTACTTTGTA